CCATGCGGCGCCCGGGGCCGTGCGGGGCTGGCGGCGCTCCCGGCCCCGCCCCGGGCCCGCCGGGCGGGCGCTGCCGCCTCCTCTGTCGCTGCTGCGGGGTGGGGGGAGCCTTCCTCGGCAGTACTTGCCCTGGGGGAGGCGAGAAAGCTGGGCCCCTTCCCGCTCTGCAGCTGCGGCTCAGCCCGGCACTCCCTCCCAGGTTTCTGGTGTTGCGGCCGGAACCGGAGGTTTGCGTCAGGTGCCACCTGGGGCTGTGCAGCGTGGCGTGTGGACCTTGGCGATAAGATTTCCCCAGAGTCCGCCGAGCTCTGCCTCGTTGCCAGGCAGGATTTTGCTGCCAATAGGTTTTCTTTTTTGGTGGGTTTTGTTTTTTTTTTTTTTTTTGGTAGCGTATTATAGTGAAATGATGAGAATTCAGGAGAAGCTTTGATGTCCGTAGTTGAGTTAGTAGCTCTGTTTCTTCTTCCGCCCTTGTTCTTCCTGTCAACAATATCAGCACTGAAGTAATGAAATTTAAACCAAAAGTTATTATGAGAGCTCTGATGCTGTATATTTTAAAAGGAATTTTGAGAGATACTCTACTGTTTCCTGATGGTTTTTTAATTGTGGAGCTTGACACGTGCAACACGTTTGTTATATATTTGTCTGCTGTAGACCGGACAAATAGGACCTGAAGAATTACTTGTGCCTTTTATCTCTATTTCTAGTTTGGTTTTTTTGTCTCTTGGTATTGTTTTCCTTTGGAGGCTTCCATACGTAGTAATCTGAGGATGTGTTCCCTGTCTTACTGCTACGAATTGAATCTTTATCCCTATAACATTATACTCTCAGAGTATAAAAAGATGGCTTGTGAAAGGGTTTTTGGAAGTTAGATACCTGCTTCCTTCATGCTTACATAGAGCATCAGTGATTTAAGGATATTGTCTTCTTGTGCTAGATTGATACAAGAGCTCTAATGCTGTATATTTCAAAATTAATTTTAAGAAATACTTTCCTGTTTCCTATTGTTGTTTCACCTGGGGAGCTTGACACGTGCAGTAGCTTTCTAAGTAGATCAAGGTCAGTGCTAATCTTTCAGCTGTTCTTCTGCTCACTTGCTTGCAAAATATCTGGCTTTGACTGAAGCTAGTACTTGGGTTAGAAACAAAAGTCATTAAATGTGAAAGGTATGTTAGCTTGGAAACTAATGTTTCCATAGAGATGGGGATTTAAGAAATCTAAAAGATTTCAGAACTGTAGACTGCTGCTCTTCCAGAAGACTGAATCTTCAGCAGACAGTGCAGTTAACATGAGGTCGCTTCCTACTTCTGCTCTTACTCTAAAGCAGGTCAAAGTTTTTCTGGTGGAGATTGACTGTGTAGGAGATCCCACCACAGGGCTCTAAAAGCAGCTTTATTCTCAGCTGTTCCGTGGAAAGGGGGCTGCACCTTTGGCAGATCTTGCTCATGAGGACCTCCTAATTGGAGGAATATAACTGCATTTCACATAGAGTGTAAGAATTAGGTAAATTACTAATTAGGCTGTGTGTGTCTTAAAGCTGGGACTGGGAACATGGGAGGACTGCTTTTCTGTTCTGGTCCATTTTTGGTCTACCTTAATAATCCTAGAATCTCCTGGTGACACAGTAGGACAAAATTACCTCCACTTAGGTGAGTCCCTCTTTCCCCAAACAGGTTCCCATTTTAAAACCCTCAAGTGGTTCTCTTGAAAGATACACATATTTTGTGTACTAAGATTGCTGTGGTCTTGAAGCTGACCTTCCTACTTTTACGCAAACACTGCTTAGGAAACAAGGCTGTAAATGTGGTTGTGAACGTGAAAAAGTCAAATGTACCGTTATTAATCTTTGTCATAAATCCACTGTAAGCTATTCCAAATGTTCTTTTTTGTTTGGCTCATGAAACAGGTGATGGAAAAGTGAATTTAAAGCTTTGTGTGCATTCAATCTGTTGTAAAAGCCTACTGTTAGTGAAAGGGAGAGGTCTTGCTCTTGTATTGCCCTGGTCATGACTGCATGGTCGTGTTCCCTCCTTTGTTGTTCCTTGATTTCCTGATGTGTTTTTGCTGAGGTGATCTTTGTGTGGTGTTCTTTGCTTGAATGATTTTTTGCTGGGGCATTTCTTAGCTGTTCTAGTGAGTTAAAGTCAGCTCTCAGGTGCATTCCCGGTGACACACAGTAGCTCAGGGGATGAGGGCGTGCAGTCCTTTACCCTCTTGGCAGCAAGTCACACATTTTGGTTTCTCCTGGAACTGTACCTTCACCCTCAGGTTTTTTCTTTTTGTATTATCTCATTTATGTTCTTCTTTTCTACTTTGGTTGCAGAGAAAGTGACAACTTCTATTTTTCTCTTCTTACAGGAAGAGGATGATTGGAAGGAGTTTGAACAAAAGGAAGAAATTGATTATAGTGGTCTTAGAGTTCAGTCCATGCAAATAAGGTACTGCTTTTTCTTCTTTTTTTTTTTTTTTTTTTCCTCAGTATAATCCTTACCAATGTCTAAAAAGGATGGTTTTTTTTCTACAGAGCTGCTTTCATGGAGTCCAGTTAAAGAGAGGTTTGATATGTTTCTGATAGTACACAAGTTTGCTACTGGGTAATTTAACTTTGACTAGTCTCTGCCAGTGTTCTCTATTTTCTGAATCTGTGTTCATACTCAGCAAATCTGTCTATTTTGTTTGAGACTCAAGATTTTTTATTAAAAATGCTTGACATTCTGCTCCGTAAAGATAGTCAAGTAGGAATTTCTCAGAGTAGTGCAGGATAGTAATTCGCACTGAATCATTTGACTGCTGTAAGGGTATCTGACTCAATCTACTCAGCATCTTCAGTTGGGGAGCAAATTCCTGAACCATTGCACTTGAATTGCAAAAAACCAAAAATACAATTGGTAAAAATAGTGTCCCACGATAAGATCCCACAGGATTTATGAATCTAATCCATGATTCCTTGTTTGTTTTTTGCATTAGACTTTTCCTGTTGTCTGGTGGAAAGTAAGTCTACTTATGTCTGTCCTGGTTAAAAAAAACTTCATCAGGTCAGAAAAAGGGTTTTTATGACCTCAGTCATAGACTGAGAATGTCAGATAATCCTCATTGTCCAGGTGTTGATGTTCAAAATAATGTCATCTTAAAATCAGCCAACCTGTAACCAGTACAATAGATGCTTTCTTCACTGTTTGAGCAGGTCTGACATTTCTGGAATTATTTACTCTTTTGGATCATAGCATTTCCCCCACTCCTTTCAGTTAACTAGGCCTTTGGGCCATTTGCATGAATTTGTCCCACAAGCTGTCCGTGGCACTGAAGTGTCACAGTGGATAATCACATGTCTGATTGGACAACCAGTGAGCTGCAGCTTCACTGGCTGCTGGTGCTGTTTGACTGAAAAGCCTCTACTTTGGTTTTCCAGACAAAGGCCAGCATTCCAAATACTTTTCATACTGTGGCAGACTTTCAGGCATGTGGAAGTTTTTGCCACAGGATTTTGTAACCATTCAATTAGTGGATTCAAGGGAAGAGTGGAGAAGTAAATGGAAGAAAAACCCACTAGAGGTTATAAATTATCCATCTTTGGAGGTCTCTTTGATGAAACAAAGATACAGAGTGTCTGGTGGGGGTGGGATGCTCCCTGTGCTTGCTCTGTTGTAGTTAAGTCTGTAGACGATGCTTCTGACTATCATTTAAAATAAGGTGTTTAGGCCCTTGGGCCACCTTACTATGGTGTTGCTGTGTTTGGATGAACAGTGAAAGGCCATTTACAGACATTTTTTTTTCTGTTCTCTGATCATTACTTACACAGAAAGCTTACACAGATCATGATTAGTAGGATTTGGTGTATTATAAACTTCTGAATTCACATGCTGCTGTTGAGATCAGTGTCTTGATTCTTTTCAACAGCCTCACCCTCCACATCTGTCCTACTTTACCACACAGCTTTCTGTAGTAGCTTTGGCCAGCAAATTATTTTGTGTCTGACTACATCTATGCAAAATAAAATAGTCTAAATAAAATACAGCCGAGCTTTTGCATTGGGTCTGTCTTTAAAAAATTAATTTTTTCTGTCTTGTGCGCTTTTTTTTTTTTTTTTGGCCTACTTTAAGAAAAGACATCTGAGTTTATCTGTGGATTGTATATTACCCAGACATATAAAGAGTGTTTCTTAGGTGGTTGTGGTTATAGGAAAAGTGAGCTCAGGACTTGCTTTCTTTCAGCACTACTCCACTATTTCTTCCTTTTGACTAAAGCATTTTATGGAAGCTGGACTTGTAGACCTTTCCTGCTTTATCTTGTCATCCCTTCCAAATGCATAACTCTGTTAGTAAGAAAAAAGCCTTTCTGCTCAAAATAAGATGCCAATTTCTTTGATCACTTTGTTCAAGTTGAATTTTTTTATTATTATTATTCCTTTAGGAGCTTTTTTCCTTTTCAGTTGCCAAGTTATATAGCAGCATGCCAGAAATTGTTCAGATGGAATAGCTAGTACAGTGATTACAAGACTAATGCAGTCCAATTTAATTTAATATCTTCAGCATGGCAGCCATGAAATCTTGTCTTACAGAAATTGTGTAACCTCTGGCAAATCTTAAACCTCTGTTTGTAGGGTGCTACTGATTGTTTTTCTCTTACAGTGAAAAAGAAGATGATGAAAGTGAAAAAAGAGAAGAACCTGGTGACAGTTGGGAAGAGACTGGTAGTGGTGGTAGTGTAGACAGATCATCTGGTCCTTGGAACAAGTCAGCTCCTGCACCAGCCCCTGTCGTTGAACCAATTGGTAAATTAAACTCAGACTTACTGGTTTTTTTTTCCAATTAGAATTGCATCAGGTTGAATTAAGCTACTCAGTGGTAGAGCTCTTACTGGAGCTCCTGTTCAGGCACCCTGGCACCCTTTAATAGGCTAATGGCTGTTTTGGCATGCCAGCCATCAAGGAAATCTTTGTGTCAAGGGATCTGAGAAACAGAATTTAATTTAAAGTATCTGTCAGAGGGGTTGTTTTATTTCTAAATTCAAAAGGGGGGGAAGCAGTTTGTCTTTGCAGCACATCCCTCTGTTTTGCAGTCTGTAAAATACCTGTTGGATGCATTTCTGTTGATCTAAAAATGCTGCTTTACCACTTCAGTGGATGCTCAGCCAGTATCTGATCTATTGTGGCCATTAGTAGCCAGCTTTTCAAATCAATTCTTAAAATGTTGAGAACGTGACGTTGCAAAATTGATTCTTTTAACTAGGATAGGATTCAGTATTTTTATTAAGTACAGTTTATTAACATCAGTGGAGATAAACTACTTAGTCATCCTCTGAGTTCAGAATATACTTTTCCACTGAGAAATTAATTGAAAAATGGCCTATGCTCTTTCTTGTTTGTAAAGGAGGTAAACCTAATTAGGGTTATTTCATCTTAGATTTTTACCTTAAGTGCAAACTGTTTGGGCAGTCCCTTCTGCATCTGGAGAGGTGTTTTAAATAAGATTTGGCATCTATATAATTATGTGTTTAGATCTGTTTTAAATGTGTTTAAATTGTTGCTAATAAATTGCAAACGAGAAACATGAAGTCCTTGTTAGTAGTTTGTATTCCCTAAACTTGGGGAGACAATGCTCTGGAGCCCTGTTTCAATTTGACTGAGTGTAGGTTAAGTTAGGTGACGCCTCATTTCCTGCCTTGTCTAAAACTTGCTTCCAAAACTTAAAAGTTGGAAAAACATACTTGTAAGGTTCTTTTCATTTCTTCTTTGTGGAGTTTTGTTTGTGTGTTGGTTGTTTTGGGTTCTTTTCAGCTATGAATGCAGACTCGTTCTCATGTGTGAATCTTGTTGTTTTTCCTAGTTACAGAAGCTCCGGAACCAGTGCAGACGGGTGGCGTGTACCGGCCGCCAGGTGCCAGGGAAGGCGGGCGGCCACGGAGAGTGCAGCAAGGACCACCAGAGATCTACAGTGACACGCAGTTCCCCTCACTGCAGTCCACCGCCAAGCTCGTAGACAGCCGAAAGTAAGTGCATTCCACTGATTCCCCAAGAGACTTCTAGCTGCCTCCTCTAAGTTCTTATTTTGTCCTAGTGCTTAAGCCTGAATCTTTCCATAAAGGAAAGAAATAACTGAGGGGTGATAAATGTGTTGTCCATCTCTGTTCCTGTGAAATAACTTTCATAGGATGTAGCCCAATGAGATAGCCAAACAAGACTGCCAGTTGTGTTCTTTGACAGCTGAAGGATTTCTCTGAATATTTCTGGTACTGACAGCATCTGCTTCCCTCAGACACTAGGCTAACCATGGTGAGGCTCTGTGTGCTTCCTTCAGCAGATAGATGTAGAAGTCCTGAGCTTGCAGCCTTCTTGTTAGAGATGTGGAAGTGGTTTAACTGGAGGAGTGCAGTATAACTACAAATCAATACACTTGCTGTCTGAGCTGTGATTTACAGAGACGAGCTCCCCCAGTTTTGCTGAAGTATTTTGTATTATGTGGTGCTGAAGACTTCAGTCTCACCCTGTCTTTCAGTCCTGATCTTTCTATAACCTTATTCCCAGTAGAAGAGATGGCTAAGCCAATACCTAATTCACTTGGGAGATTTGGGGTGGTTTTTTGTTATTGGGTTTTTTTTTCCCCTCTTGCTTGCTATGTTAAATGTTTAATACAGCTCGGGAGAAGCTTTGTTTCCTCTGGGTATTTTTTTGGTGTAGCAAAGGAGACATGCTGTTATTCATGCTTTGTGATTTGAATGGTGCAAATTGAGCAAAGATGAAATTCTGAATGAGCGTTCTAGAAAATTATTTCTGCTTTCTAGAACCTATTTTTCATAAACGCACTTAAATTTACTTTGGGAATGTTAATGTAAGCTGTACCGGGTGATGAGCTTATCTTGGAGATAAGGTTTTAAAAGATTTGCTTGGGATGTTTAGGTGTTCTGTTAAACTCTAGATCTTAGTCTTTGTTCTGTGTTCCTAATGTTTGTGTTGGGATGGGGTGGAGATGGACTAGTAATTCACAATTCACAAGTTAGTGACAAGATATTTACTGATTACATTTATTTTCCCATAGGGATAAAGAAATGGAGAAGAGCTTTGAAGTAGTAAAATACAAAACTAGAGGTAGGGATGAGGTCTCAAAAAACCAGGCACTTAAACTTCAGCTAGACAACCAGTATGCTGTGCTTGGGGATCAGTAGAGCTGCACACACATTACAATTAAGGAATGCTTTTTTGGTAACCCTTCTACTAAGGTAACTAAACTACAGCTAACAGCTATGATGAACGTGCCACCTTATTTCTGCTGGATCTACTGCAGCAAGTGCAGACTGCTTTGACATAAGTGATTGGTTCTCCTGCACTATGGAAGCATAATATGTTGCAACTTCTCCATTGGATATGGGGCAAATTAATGTAAATGATTGAACAAGAGTCATCAGTGTGCTTTAATTGCTCAGAAAGATACCTACAGCCAGTGGTCATTTCAAAATCTTTTTATGTTCAGATACTGAGCCTTCGTAAAGGTTGACTACCTCAGACTTGATGCACTCTTTGTGGACACCATGTGGATCACAACTTCTGGAAGAGAAGGTTACAGCTGTTTTAGTGGCCATCTGAAACTTGAAACCAGCTCTACTGGATTCCTGTCAGAAATCCTGCAGAAGTCAGCCATTTGGTTCCAATTTGCTATAACAAAGATTTAAGTGACCTTAATGACAAACCTGTTCGTTCCCCTTCTGAGGAATCCTGTCACGTGTAGCCATAGCCTACTAGAGACTTCTGGAGCGTCCCATACCACTCACACTATCCAAGTACAACAGAGCTGTAGTTTGTTTACCTTTCTAGAGTGCTGTACGGAAGTAACTGCAAAACAAATTAAAACTCATTCAGTATCAGATTGGAGGAATGATGGGTTTGAATGGTTTGTTTGCATTAGCCATTTTCTAAGTTGTCTAAGTGTTTTTTTTTCTTTTCTATTATCCACAAAAGAAATGCCTGCCTTGTTTCTGATATGGATTTGCAGTATATTTAAATAATGGTAAAATGTAGTGAAATAGGGGTTTATTTTGGTTTTTGTCTTGAAGTTTGTCTTTCTCACCCTAAAGCACTAAGAGTTTTGATTTGACACAGAGGTATCCAGACTCCAACTACAGTCTTGAGAATTTGTCCTTTAATAATGAGACATGTGGCAGTAGCGATGCTAGATAAAAACTGTCTTCTATCAAAAACAATTATTTGTTTATTGAGGAGTGATGCTTATTTGATAAACAGAATAACGTAATATACAGAGAGATAACTAAAGCTGGTAAGCCTGATTTGTTTGGCTACTTCTGTGAAGCGTGCAGCTGTCTGAGGCAGCAGTCCTCCAAGTATAACTCATAAATGGTGTTTATTCACAGTCAGAAAGTTTAGTAATGATGGAAGGCAGTGACTTCTTAAAGTTACTTAATTTAGTGTAAGTAGGCAAAATGGCACTGGTACACGAGGAATATAGGACATTGCCTGTAACTGTTTCAGTGAGCCAAACCTGTCAAGTACCAGAAGTGTTCTGCTGTAACTGTTTTTCTCTTCTCTGAATTTTTACACCAGAAGCAAAATGAAGTACAATAGTGGTGTGCTCCAGTGTTGAGGTTTCTCAGAGTAAATGCCAAAAAATAGACCCAACATCCATAAGTGTTGCCAATGGCAAGAAAAACAAGGGAACAAAACAAAGCTTGCTTACGTGTGTCAGAGTACTGTGTATGTGCAGAAGATAAGGATAGTTCAGGAATCACCCGGTTGGGTTCCCTTTGACTAACTGCTGACTTGCTTTAAATTTACTTCTCTGAGGTCAATGCAGATTTTGCTGTTGACTTCAGTGGGGCTGGGGTTTCACCTGGTTCTTTTGAGCACAGACTTAAAACTGGCCTTGCCCTTGCAGAGTTAACTGTCCATAAAAATTCTGCTAGAAGCTGCTATTAAAGAGAGGGCTCAAGAGACTATTCCTAAAGTTGGAGACTTCATTTGGAAACAAAACCCCACTGAAAGACTGATACCAATACCTTGGACTCTGAGCCATGTATCTTCCTTGAAAATCCATTGTTGCCAGCAAAAGTGTTGTTGTCACAATTTCTGTGGAATTCATGGTAAATGGACATGTCACTTGATGGGGTAGAGATGTGAAGTCTTATGCTTTTCCTGATGCTCTAAAGAGATTTCAATCACTAATGCACATGAACAGAGTTTTAGTCTCCTTTGTGAAGGGTAGATGAGACTGTCCATTGTACCACCTTTATTTGAGGTTTTTGGGCATGAATCCCAGCAGTTCAAGAAAACCCTGTAAAAGTTTCAAATCAAATAAAATGGAAATATACATGGATTCTGGAGTCTAGTGAGTCTTTACATTTTAGTTTGAGCTCATGACTGTACAATAGCAGAGGAAACAGAGCATTTGGATCTCTTCAGGGATAGGTCTTGGAGTGGACAGTTGTCCTTACAGTCAGGTGGGCTCTGTTTCAGAGCTTATAGCAATGCATATCAATAAAACTGTTATTCATATGTAGAGGTTTAGTTTGCTTCTTGGCACAGTGTCTTCTTGCTCCCACCACAGAGGACTGGTTTGAGATTGTGAGTGAGTATGAATGAAGCTTTGATTTGCGTTTCATTTACAAGTACCTCTACTAAATTAAAGAATGGGGAAAAAACTGCAACCTCTGCATGGCTGCTCTCACTGGACTCCATCAGGTACTGATAACTAAAGGTGTTCCTTTGGGGGCTTCTGTCAAGCATATCATTCCAGTTTCTTTCTGGAGGCATAAGGAAAAAAAAAAATCTGAAATGCAGCAGATTTCCATAGTACAGAACATTAAAGTGTTGTAAAAGAAGTGTTTCTTGTGTTAAGTATAGCTGCCAGCAGCTATCAAAATGCCAGTTGTCAGTATCTGCCTTGTAATTGCTCTGCATGCCTGAAATTTTGAGTCAGTTCTCTGCAGAAGCTCGGTACACTTTGGAGACTCTTGAAGCCCAGCGTTGTCCTGGTTTTTTGTTGCTTTCATTCGAGGAATGCAAAGAATATCCTTTTCATTCCTTCAAAATGCTTGTTGAAGGCTTATTCCATAAATAAAGGGTTGTCAGTTGTAGAAGTGAGATTCTTGATGCCAGTCCATATAATGGAGTTGTGTGCTCCTTCAGGGACTCCCTGGCATGTGACATGCTTTTATGGTGGGTTGCTTGTTAATTCCCAATTTAAAGGTTCGGTTTTACTTTCTCTGTCTTACAATAAAACATAGCCATAAAGTTACCAATTTGCTGGTAGAACATGGACATGTCCAGCGCTTACTGGGAAAAGAACAGTTTGGATTTGTGTTTCTCAGTGATAGTCTGTATTTAAGGATGTTCAAATGCTAAAAAGCAGGTAATTTTAATAAAGTTGGACTTCCCAAATGCCTACTGTAGGTATCTGGAATATGTATTTACTTGAGCTGATGATAAATACAGGAGAAGATTAGTTTTGCCCCTGCCCTTCTCTCCCAGTTTAGCTGTGTCATGTTCAATCGTATTCACAAATTAAGAGGAACTGACAATTAAAAGTGACTGTGTCCTGTACAAAACTACTTCAGTTTTGTATTTGTGGCTAGCTTTACCAGTCATGTCCACAGTAACCTAGATGAATTTTTAATGGTAGCAGTTGTGCTAGAGGGCTCACACCACAGGGAATAGGGCTTTTGGTATTTGACTGCGTGTGCCAGCTCTTGGAAACTTTGACCACACCATGGCTGAGACCCCTGTGTTCAGGTCAAGTGAACACAATATAAATTCGATTGGGCTGCACATCTTTGGAGTTTGCTTATCTGAGCTCTTGCAATAGTTGTAGCTTTTTGCCTTTCTAATTTCTGCCTGTTTGAGCAGTTTTAAACTTGCTTGTGGTTTTCTTTTAAATACCCTAACTAAAATGGAGCAGGAACTAATACAGCTTCATGTGCTTAAATAAGGTTGCTTACTTACAAGGTAGTAATATTATTCTCTGCAATATTGACATGGTCAGAAATTTATACCTCATTGGCCCAAGAAGCTAAATTATACCAAAACCACCTTGAGTACTATATAATTTTTATGAACAGCCATGATCCAGGTTTTGTTGCTGGACTGTAACTTTGTTCCCAAATTCTCTCTCCCTGTTTTCAGCTTTTAATATTACAACTTGTTTTTAATGTTAAATAGGGGCTTTTATGAGGCAGTATAAGAAAAGAATAAGTGTAATCAAACTTCAGGTATCTGAATTACGTATGTACAGAGGGGATGAAATCTGACATATATTTGCAGATAAACTCCAGAAAAAGTTAAAAAGACAGCTTGTCTTTATTGAGGTTAATACAAGAGCCTGCAAGCTCTAGGAGTTGGAGGAAGAAGTGACAGCAGAAAACAGAACTGAGGAGTCATTACAATTGTGTATCTAAAGTTTGGCTTCTCAGGCATCACCTGTAGTTCTGCCATGTTCTGTTTGAAGTGACATAGAGCAGAAAGGAAGATTAATAAATAAATAAACCAGGGAGAGTGGAAATAAAGAAAATAAAACACAGGTGCTGTAAGAAGAGAGGGATTAGGAGGGCTGTTTTCTAAATGATGGCTTTAAGTGCATAGCCTGAGGGAGTGGAGTGTCAGATGTTGGATAGTACAAGTGCTGTGTGGGTAGGCACTGCTTGCACATGTGACAGATTCATCTGACTTTAAATCAGCAAACTGTTTAAAGTTCAATACTTGGGGAAGGCAGCACATTTTATTTCTTCCTTTCAACGAACTGGGAGAATGGCTTCAGAGAGAAGGTAGGATTTTGCATTAGTATGAAGCTGACCTGTTGCCTAAAGAGAGAACTGAGGACAAATTTCAAGATGGCTCAACAATCCTCTTAGGAAATAAATTGTGTATTTAAGAAAATTATTTTTCACTTCTGCATGATTAAAGGCTGAGACATTGTTTCAAATAGCTATGAAGACTTTTTTTTTATGAAGTAACTTCTAAATGGTACATACATCATGGGTTTCTCTTCAGTTGCTTAAGAGTATGTGTTGATGCAGCAAGGTTAATGAAGTTCAGTGTTCACTTCAGCTAAGTTCTGCATAGCCAGAATACAAATACTAAAAACATATCACAGTATTAATGAGTCACCAGGAAAAGCAGTGTGTCTGGAATATTGGATTGGAAAGTGTCATCTAAAACAACTGTGTGCACTGAAAAGAAGCCAAGCCCATTTCTGAGCAAGAGCATGGGAAGCATGGGACCAAGAGAGTGGGATTTGGCCTAGGTTTTCTACTGAGCTGCTATGTTCAAATAATTTAGTTTCACTTTGCCTCAGTTTCCCCAGCTGTACCAAAATAACCAACAACCTACCTCACAGGGATGTTGTGAGGCCAAAGCTGTTCTTTGTCAAGGGCTGGGGCTGATTGAAGGTTCTACAGAGGACTAAAAATCTTTATTAAAATTAGCTTTTATTATAGTATTTTAATACTACTTTGGCAAAGGCTTATTTCTATGGAATGTAATATACGTCCTATTTAAGTATTATGTAATTTGACTTATTTTAGTATGTATAAGGAAAAAGTTCAGACTGAGCACTCAACTGGTATTTCCTCTATTCAATTATCTGTGCAACCCAAATGGCATATTAATGTGAGGTTCTTTGTTTTTATGTGGATCATATTAAAATCAATATTGCTTTATTTTGTAAACCCCATGACTGAAATAAAATCCTGCTCACAGTTGATAGCCATTTCTTATAATGTGGCTGTTTTAAAGTTTGTTTGAATCATGTGAACCAGAAACGTTCACTCCTGGCACTAAGGGTATTTTTTCATAGGAATGTGTTTTTCTTCTCCTCTCCATGTGTAAACACTTTTTTCCTGCTCTTTATTCTTTCCCTTACTTAAGTTGAAGTGGCATGCAGATACAAGGGAAATAGGAAGAGAGAATCATCTTCAAAATTTGTAAAAGCTGGTATTAAGGCAAATTGTAGAGGAAGGGAATGAGAAAAGGGAAATAGTTGGCCATGGAGGGGGTTTTATTAAATAAAGGGAAGAAACTATCAAAAACTTAGGTGTGAGTGGGATAAGCAGCATAGGTAAGAGGAAGGAATACAGATACAGCAGAGGCAATTATTGTACTTATTATCTGCTGATTTATCAGTTAGCTGCAGCTGAAGTAACATGAAGCAGGAACTTACAAATACGCCTTTGTCTGCTTTTGCTGGTGATTTCAAGGTTCATTGCTCAGCTTTTACAATGGAGCTTCAAACAGAACCAGAGAACAACATTATGGTGGCCTGCATGCAGACAAATGAGAGCTCTGGTGGGTCCTGGAGAGAGATGAGGCCTTCTCTTATTGACATTTTTATCATTGCAGCACCTCTAAGACAGTTGTTATTGTGTATCAGCTGTGACAGTTCTCTGTCAGAAATGGTTACTGTTAAACTTCAACAAACTGGCAGTTGCTTCAGAGAAAATGTTTAACTAGCTAAAGAATAAGCACTGAAGAATAACATGGGGCTTTTTTGAATACTTATGGTGATGATGGTAACGAGTGAAATTAAGGTCCATATATTTATTGGTAGGTGATTAAAATGACTTTCAAATACGTATCTTACATGGTGGGAAGGAGAATTGCTTTTAAGATGTTTGTCATCTATCCCCCTATTAACAAATAAACTACCTTAGTTTTACTGTCCTTCCAGCTCCAAGGAGCTGCTTCTTCCATTCTCTTACCACTTTCTTGCCTTATTTTTCTAATATGTCACTTTTTTTAAGGTGCTGAAGAAACAGCAAATATTCATTGAGATTATCACCGCTAAGAGAAACGGATGCTGTAATATTTTTCTGTATTGTTCTGTCTTTAATACAGCCTAACAACTTATTCGCTTTCTTGACTGCAACTACACAGTGAGCAGATGTCTTCATCAAGCTGCCCCTGGTGATGCCTAGATCGTCCCCTTGAAAGATCACAACTAATTCAGACTCATGTCACAACTTCTACCAGAGCATGTATGAGTGGTTTGAAACCTTTCCAGTATTTATTGCCTTGGTTTTTCCTGTTGACAACTCACCTGGCCCTGATTTGCCAAATTTAGAGTAATTTAGAATATCCTGTCAATCACCATCAACCCAGTAACTTCCATGGGGATTGGCTTTTGCCATTTGATGTACTGAAGTCTTCAGTATCATGTGTATAATCCACTCTTCTGGTCAGTGAGTAGCATGGCAAGCTCTTACTAATTTTTGCTCAATCTGATGTTTTCTATTCCTTTTCATGTCTCCTGTCTTCTGTACTGAATTTCCATTCTAGCTCAGTTACAGCAACGAAGTCATCACTTTACATCTGTCTGCTTTATTTCAAGTAACTTGCCTACGGAAAAGCGTTAGTTAAAATATTGTCATAAGCTTCCTTTTTTTAATTAAAACAAACCACTTATTTTGTATATCTTTCAGAGCATGTACAACACTAGCAAAGGGATTCAAACCATAAAACTGGCTGATATAATAGAACAAATTTATTGAGAAAAAGACAAAATATGTGTATGGTCTCCCGGAACTTCAATTCACTGGTTTCAATGGAGTTATTTCTGTCACACAAGGTCAGTTTCATTAACATTTGATTTGAGATCAGAGATTTGGGATCATTTGGCATTTAGGTGTGACAGCCAGAATCAAGTGCCAGTGAACAAGCCCCATAGAAACTTGTTTTAAATTTCTGGGTAATTCTCCTCTTTGTGCCAGAGATGAAGCAGATGGATTACTATTACTTAGTCTCTGACCAGCAACCACATGAGCTCAGCCATGCTCAATCTAATATACCTGGAGTAGTATTTAACTGGATATTGAAACTGCATTACAGTATTTGAGATGAAGCAACACAGGAGGGTAGGCTTAATCTTTGTGGTTTGTTTCATCTCCTCATTCTCATCATCTTGTGCTTTAAAGAGCATGGAGCTGTAAATGATGTTGTCTTTAAACACTGACTGCATTTCCCAGTCATGTTGTGTTTACAGATACAAAGGATGTGTCATAAGGGCAGACTCTAGCCTGGTAGGATACACAGCCTGGCCCTTGAGAGCTGCATTACCTCAATTATCAGAGTACCACAGCCTAGAGAGCAGCTGCCTTCCAGTACTAATGCTGATACCAGGTTGAGAACAATGTACCTTGGATGCTGCATCCAAAGATCTGTATCTGTTAGATGTTCTATTACAGCAGTACTCTGTCAAAAAAGTTGTAGCTGCTGGGAGTTGATTAAGTTGGCCAAGGAGGGTTGGGAGTTTTTTACTTTTTGAGGACATGGGCGGGAAAACAGAGCCAATGAATCTGAGAGTTGTTAGAATGTAATACTTCATAGCCTCTCCCATGCTTCTGGAAGCCTCACCTCTGCTGGTACACACCCAAGCCCTGTCTTGCCACTCTAGCTCTGTACTTTACTTACTAACTGCCCAGTAACCTTCAGGACTGACAAGTTCTTTGACCGTGCACTGTGTTTCTACTCTGGGAATTAGGAAAAAGGCAAAGTGGCTTTGGAACCTGGTATGGCAGTGTTTTCTAGGTAATGGGCTCTGCTCATGGGTGTTCCTGGAACTCAAAACTCAGCAAAAATCTGTTGATTTGACCTCTCTTTGCCCTAGAGTATTCCCTCCTTCTTCTGTTCATCTACATTATTACCATGCCAAGGATTTCTTAGTCAGGTGCCTGAATTATTCACCACTTATTTAAAAAGCAGCAGGCAAGAACTCCTGAGTCTTTATCACATTGCATTGTTTTTGTAGTAGGGCTGTAGTATCACAAACATTGCAAAACTGCCTAGCAAGTAAATCCGGTCTCCTTGAGAAGTGAAACCTGGAGTCTCAGAGGCTACATGGGAACTGAATTCCCACTGAGTACAGCAAACAGGAGGTAGTAGCACTGTTCACAGTACAACACAGCTTAGCTATGGAAAGCAGTCGGGTTGCATGACTGGTAATGCTCTAGCTTAAACAAAACTGTCTTACCTGGACAGCAGGATCTAGCCTAAAGCATTTTAATTTTTTTTAATGAAGAGATTACTGAGGGAAGAATTGTAAGAGGATCTCTCTGTAAATCAAAAGGAAAAAAAAACAACCTGAATTTGTTTTCAATAATGTACCAGAATGCCTCAGCACCAGACTTAATGTGAAGAAATTAAGACAATTGTGGACTCAGTGTAGTAAAAAAAAAAAAAAATAATAATTATACTGTCTGGGGAAATGGTTGGCTGGGAACCTATGGAGCACAGCAGAAACTGTTTCAGCAGAGTTAAATATGATCTGAGAATCCCTGTGTAGCCCCCACAGTTAACACAGGAACCTAATGGTGCCTGTATATTTATATAATTGTGTTAATAGTCATAACTTAAGTTCAAAACCTGAACTATATATATTTTTGTCAGTAGGTTTTTTTTTACCCTGGTTTACCTGTCATGGCTTCTGCATATGACAACTTCTAACTGTGCAGTGCACACACCTGGTGTCCTTTTGTCCCATGGTAGAGTAATGGTATTCAAACTCTGTAAAGCACTTTCATGATGTTTCCTGTGAAGAAAGCTGAAGAAAATAAATTTATCTTAACAGCACCAACTGAATTTCCATTTCCCAAGTTTGTCTTGCTTGTGTTCCCCTGTGTGTGGCTTACAGACAGCTGGATGTTCGAGGCCCAGCACAGAAGGGGAGCTGGCTCTGGCTGGAACAGCTGCTTTCTGCTTCTGTTCCCCCAGCCCTCCCTTACTGTTCTGCCTCAGCCCTGGCTTCAAACCAGTGTCCACAAGGCCAGAGAATACTGGAGAACATGGAGCACTGAGATCCCAGGTTAATGGTTTCACTGTGGGCTGGTATGTGCCTGATTTTAGCTGCTCCCCCTTCTGCCCTGCCCCAGGATTCACAGCAGCTGCAGGAACTGTGTGGTTCCAAGACTTCTTTTAAAGCTTAAGTCAAGTGGGTCAGGGAATGGGTTTTTATCTATAAAGTGAGAATACCAACACTACCCTTCCATGGCAGCTTCTGGGGATTGGGAAGAAAAAGTCAAAGGAACCTTAGGTCTTGCCTGCTTACACACCTATTTCAAATGCCTGCAACACAAAGCAGCACTTCAGAGGTAGAACAGTGAAATACACAATTCAAAGTTAAAGTTAATTCGAAATATGATGTATGGCACTAACAGTGGCATTATTTTCAGTATGCAGACTAGGAACAAGTTGGAAATCTTTGATGTCCACGTATACCAAAAAAGCATCAAGCTGTTATAAAAAAAAACCCCAAAAGTAGGAGGTAAGATGGTAGTCACTGCAGCTTAACATAGCAGTCTTGTCATAGCCAAGACCCCAGTGACAGGGGCACAGATTTTACTGTTTTAAAAGAAACAAATCCCTCACATTCATTCTCAATCCTCTCTGACAATTCCTTCAGGTCATCCTGACAGCAGGTTGCAGAGCTCGCTGACAAAAGATCTGCTGCACTAAAGTAGGAAATCAGAAGCACAAAGTACAGCCTTGCACATAAAGACAAGCTGCTTTCCTGTTCTCTCTCACCTAGAGACCCCACAGCTCAAGTACCTTGTCCCTTCCCCAAGCAGCAAAATGTTTGTTCTGCCCAGCCCAGAGTGACTCCAGGTTGCACAAGGCTTAAATGCTTGTGGCGCAGTCTTGGATCTGCAGCAAATACTGATGCAAACCCTTTCTAGAAAACCATATTCAGCAGAGAGAAGATAAACATAAAAT